AAAGGTAGAAGTAACTGGAAATAAGGTAGAATACAAGGTACGAGTACTTCCTCTGGTTTCAAGTTCCTTCACGTGGTACAAATTTCAATCAGGGATTGGCTGGATACCTCATGAATAATTAACGAGTATGAGAAACTATTGTGACAAACGTTCTTCAAGAGTTAATCAGATGTCGCTATATTCGCTTTGTGGGTTGGTTCCTACTCCGCAATTCCTGCCTTGAGAGCTGAGGTCTATGGTTGCCCTGAAAACAATAATGTTCAGATAACTAGATGAAGAAGTAAAGTAAGATACATAGCTTCTACTTGCATGTGATTTGTCTGGAAGAAAGAATCTTAATTTGAAATGTTTAACCTCAAAGTGCACCTTCAGCATTTGAGGTTAATGGAAGCATATCTGTGAAACAATTTTTGACTTTTTTAGAAAGGCGAATTTTTGGAAAGCTTCCGAACATAGGAAAATGTTTCCTTAGAGCTTTTTATCTGGGGACAATATCGGAAAGACTGGGACTGAACTCTGACGTCATCCCAGTCCAWGGCATTTGTTGTTATTGAAGCTTCAAAGTGAATTTAATCGTGAGTCAACCTCAAAAAACTTATTTTAACATCGATTTTATACTTTTTAGCGAATGAAGTGGCCAAAAAGTAGCTTTTTGCTAAAACGTCTTTAGAACAAATCACGTAGCAACTCCTACGAGTTACGTAACATTCAAAGAGCTATTCTTGTTTAGAGATATTGTTTATTTTAGAAAATGTRAATCCAAGCATCCTTTCACATTTGAGAATAAATCGGAAGCACCACCCGATCACGATGAATTGGTAATTGTTGATGTCCTCAAACTTCCAATGTTGCCTTTTTCGTTTCAAAACCTTCGAAGAATTTATCGTTATTTTCATTCATTCATGGAGTGTAGAAAAATCGCCTCTCACTTCTATCATAGTTTTGATTCTTCTAATTCGAAATAATTATTGGGTTCTGAAAGGAACATTTTTTTAAGACTTAAAAATAAAATTTTGAAATTTTAAAATGGGCTTTTAAACAAGTCTATCATCCTTACTAGTGCACCCTTCCTACAAACTCAAAGTACAACTTATTTTCGATATTATAGTCGATTGGAGATAACAAATTGATTTTCATTTAAGGATCACTAGTATTAAAAAGACAACTCATATTCCGAA